TTTCTCAAGGGCTTCCTGCATATTTGCCCATCTATTAGACTCAGCTATATTGAAGATTCTCAACATTATCCTTTCCTGGCTCATAGAGCTTATTTGAGTCACTGTTTGATTGATCAGTACAACAATTTACCCATAAAACAAGTATTTTATTTTACTTTTTTTAACAGTCATTACCCTAGTGCAAGTTCTGAGACCTTTTGGTTGGTTATCCCTATATAACTGCTGGAAGTCCAGCCCTATGTGGAGCCCTGAAGTAGTCAGAGTTTAACATAAATCAGTTGGTTAACATATTGGTCTCCTTCCAATGGCATATTGATGCTAGAGGAGACGAAGTTACATTCCAGAGTTAAACTCTATTACTTGGACAAGACGTTAGGTTGTTGGCTTATCAGAAGGCTGCTCCATTTCATCACAGAATTTCTATTCACCATTAGTCTGGTGGCTTGTCAAAAGACACTCCGTTTCATCACAGAATTTCTAAGTGGACTGAACCACAGCTGCACATCCAGCTGTTCTGAAAAATGGTGAGCTGCTTAGTACAAAGATGAGGGGAGGCTTGATATGCAGCATCTTTGGTCTGCTTCAGGAATGTCTTAGTATTTTAGATCCTTAAAGGCAGTAGTATCATGATGCAAACCATTGATGTCTGTTAAGTGTTATGTCCTTGACGTGGCAGCTGTGTCTGCTGCCATTCATTTTATTTGAAGCTGCTTCATTCCCACCAACCAAGGATGAATTATATATACTAGTCACCTACCATGGCATCCAGCTGACTCAAAATAGAAAACTGATCTCAGTTACGTACTGTACAGTAACTGTGGTTCTTTGATGACATAGTCAGTGTGGATCCCATAACCAGTCCTTCCTCTTCGAAGAAATATTGGTTTTGAATTGGGAGGGAATAGTGGTTGTTTCAGCCTTTGTTCTTGTGTGGGAGCATTAATCGGCACAACCCCTCCCCCTGATCTTAATGTGCATATATGAAGTTTGTGTATCTCTACAGTGGGATTTACAGTAACAAGGAATGTTTCTACTAAAGTATTTGTGTAGTAATAGGTTTGTAAATACTATGCACAGATCCTACAGTCATGCACTGACCCTGGTCCTTTCTTGGGCAAAAATAAATAAGTATAACAGCCAGTATAAAGCCATAGACAGTGTTTGCATTCCTCTGTCATATTGCCAACATCAAGGACTGGATTAACTTTAAATGGTTTGCTCATTACACACATCTTTGTACTTTTTGAAATATAACAAGAGTTTGAGAAAACTGAACTTTTACCTTCTTTGTTCATTGGTAAGGTTTCCCACTATAATAACTGCTGTTCACTTAGGGTCGTGTGATAAAGGGGTCCTACAAGTTTCATGCCATCATCACTACATTTGAAATGATTTTGACTGACTGCCCTGAGCTGCGAAACATTCCGTGGCGTTGTGTGGTAATTGATGAAGCTCACAGACTAAAGAACAGAAATTGCAAGCTCTTGGAAGGACTCAAGATGATGGACCTGGTCAGTGGGTGTTTTTTTGGTTTTCCTATACTTAAAATTGTCCTGGTCTGTACCATCTTCAAAATATTTAATTCTTTTTTCCTGTTTTCCAGTTAATCAGCTCACTCTATTAAGATAATTTTATGAGAACTCTTTAAAGGACTTTCTAGACAGTCATATGGACACATCTCTAAACTGGGAATGTTGAAGTGCTGAATACTTCTCTGATTCCCTCCTTAAATCTTGAAAACAAATCTTTCCTTCAAAGAGAGAATCCAGAGAAATCTTTGCCTTTGATTCGTAACTTTGCTTTCATTTCATATTATTTTTTTAACTCTTTGCACTATTTAAACATTGACAGTTGTTTGTTTTTAAATGTATATAAGCTTTAGAACATGGTCAAGCTAGATACCATTTATGTATATGTATAGTATAGTATAGTATGTGGGGGGCTTGTTTTGGGGGATTTTTTGTTTTTAACCATAAAAATACAGTTTTATCTTCTACTTTGGATTCCTTAAAACATAAGAGGAATGAATAGTAGATTAGACTCCAGAATTGAACATTGTCTTCCAACAAGAAACAGAAGTAATTTTTTATTTGTTAATATAAAAAAATACAAAATTTAATGTGCGCAAACCAGTCTTTTTATTTTAATTTTTTCCTTGTAGGTCACTTCTGACCTTCCTCCCAGAGGACATGAAGCTTAATCAATGTATATTTATAAACTGTTGTATAAAGACGTTATTTATTAGATAAGTTACCAGAGGAAGAAGAATGGTCTTATAGTTGTGGCAGTTGAGTGGGACTTGGGGCATCTTGTTTCAACTTCTGCTCTAGTACAAAATTCCTGTTTGCACTTGGGCAAGTCACTTATTATATCTCTGTGCTTTCATTTCCCATTTATAATGTGAGGATAATGGCACTTTATTTCTCTTTCTGACTGTGTTGTCTATTTAAACTAATATTTTTGGAGCAGGCCTCTTTTTTTTTGTTGTTGTTAGGTTCCTGACACGCTAGGGCAGTGGTTTCTAACCTTGTTAGACTGTGGACCAGAAGTGACTGCAGACTGACAAACTGCGGACCAGCATACTGCAGACCAGAAGTGACCCAGCATATTGCGGACTGGCAGCCAATCCTTTTTTTTTTTTTATACTAAAAGGGTTTCCTGCCAGTCCACAGAATGCCGGTCACTTGCGGACTTCTGGTCCAGCAGCCAAACCTTTGCAGCCCGATACCAGGCTGCGGCCCAGGGGTTGGGAACCTCTGCACTAGGGCCTCAGCTTAGATGGGCTTCATGGCATTAATGTGACAAACAAATAAGTATGGTCTTTCCCATTTATTCACAAAACCTAAATAAAACTGTTTAAAAAGTTGGTTGTCTTGTATTGCTTAAGCAATACAT